TGGATGTTTTATTGTCATTTTCATTTGTTAGAACTTTTTTAAGCCATGTTTTTATGTGTTTTCGATATTTCAAAAATTTTTTAATATAATCTTAAAATATGTCGAATATTATAAACTTAAAAAAAGTTACTAAGTTTTATATTGTGTACCGTTCCTAATATTTCTAATCATTTTAATTCATACTTTAAGCTTTATAAAGTTATAATTTGTTAATATTAATATTTGCGCGTATTTCAGGTTCCTGATCATTCATTTTTTAAAGGTTTATAACTTTAAATTAAATTGTGAAGCGCTGAGTAATCATACGACGTTCAATATTCTTTCTTTCAATATGACTAAATAATCCCAATTATAGCAATCTGATACTCATGCTCAATGTTTTTTCGCTGAATGTGATGAAAACATTTGAAAAAGGTTCGCTTATTGAAATAAATCTACACCAGTTAGTACTTCGATTTCCAGGTAAAGGGAAAAGGCTCATTATCTGCCATATTGGCAGTGAGGATGGATTTGTTGTTGACGGTCTGTGGTGCTTTGAGTCTAAGAAAACTGGGGATGAGGAAATGAATGGCGAATCGTTTGAACAGTGGTTTTCAAAAATGTTACCGAACTTAGAGGAAAACGCAGTAATTGTGTTGGATAATGCGCCTTATCATTCTCGAAGAATGGAGAAGGTCCCAACAACGGCTTCAAGGAAAGTTGATGTTCAAAATTGGCTCCGCTCGAAAAGTATCAACTTTGAAGAAGCAATGCTGAAAGTACAATTATTAAGAATTGTCAAGGATCACAAGGCGGAATATCAAAAATACGCCATTGACGAAATGGCAGCAAGTCAAAATTAAACTGTGCTCCGTTTACCTCCATACCATTGCGAACTCAATCCCATTGAGCTCATATGGGCAGAGGTTAAAAATTATATAGCTAAGCACAATACAACTTTTAAATTTTGTGACCTCAAAGGACTTTTCAAAGAAGCACTAGAATTAGTAACAGCGCAAAAATGGGAAAACTGTATTAAGCACGTGAAAGACAAAGTTGGAAAGAGAATGTGGGAACTGGACAATATTTTAGAGGAACAAGTCGAGCCATTCATTATTGACGTTGGTGCTTCAGGCAGTAGCGATGATGAAAGCTCATCAAGCTCATCTTTCCAATAAAAGATGTCGTTCATCAAATTCGGTAAGTTATAAGTAATTATAAAGCTACTGTATTTTTTAATTAATTATTGACATTTTTGAACCCATTTTGGCAAAACCTATTCAAGAATCTACTTTCTGACAATGTTCAACCATGCACATTTTTTTACGTTTTGAACGTTTTAATTTGGTTACATATTTACCTAGAAATCAAAAAATATACTAATCAATATTCTAAAAGCAATTTTAAGAGATATACGGTTATTTTTAATTTAGGCTAATTTAAACGCCATTTTGAGATTATGTTCGACTGTATTTCACCAAACATCAGGCGGCATCCGAAGCTGGAAATCGAAGCGAAAATTTTGAAACCCTTATGTATATTTACATCATTATATATTTCTTACCCCACCCCCACATGATCCTATATCCATCACCAATCGTATACACATCGAATTGTGCTAATTTACTACAAAGTTACGCAAAGCAGCATCTACTATCTAAAATATGTACTGCGTGACTCTTAATACGTCCCTGCCGAATGTTACAGCGTTCGATGATCATGTGGTCTTGTTTATGTCCGGTCTATCTCTTATCTGAATATACTGTAGAATGACACACCATTCTGGCATCGGGTCATTCTCCAGTTTTTGGCCTACAGAGAAGATGTGTTAGATACAGGTTGCAGGAATGAATTCATTAAATTGAATATCATGACATTGCCTTGTGTATACAGGGTTTGTCCGGCAAGTAATAGGACTGAGTGGATTTAAAAAAAATTATTGAACCAATCGTTACAATTCTTTAAAAACTTTCAAAATAGGCTCCTTCTGTGTCGATGCAGCGCTGCCAGCGCGATTTTCAAGCATTGAAGGCGTCACGGAAGGCATTCTCCGGAATAGCCTTGAGAGCCGCGGTGCATGCTGCTTGGATCCCCTCTGTCGTCTCAAAATGCTTGCCTTTCATCGGCCTTTTCAGGCGAGGAAACAAAAAAAAGTCCGGGGGGCCACATCTGGGCAGCTGCGGAAGCGTTGGGATGCCGGCCTTGCTCAGGTAGCTGTTCACAAGAAAGGCGGTGTGAGCCAGGAGGAACAAATTCATGGTGGACGATGCCTTTGATGTCAAAAAAGACAATGAGCATCGTTTTCACTTTGGATTTGCTCATTCTTCTCTTTTTTGGGCGGTGTCGATAAGGCCAATTCATTACTTGGTCTGTATCGCAGTCCAAGCAGATCGAAAAGATGGTACTTCCCAATCTTCACATGGGTTCTTGATATGTCAGTGATCAATGCCTGGCTTCTGTATAGAAAGGACTGCAACACAGCACGTGTAACGTAAGTAAGTTCTCGTGGTAGACCATCCATTTCCTTGACTAACAAAACCCCTGCGAAAATAATATCAAACCCTATACTGCCGAGACCTGATATCACCACCCAAAAAGATGGCATAGGTCATTGGCCAACTTATGGTACAAAAGGTAGATGCAGGCACTGTACCAATGGATTTACAACAATCTTTTGTACCAAGTGCAATCTTAGGCTTTATTTCACCCCAAATAAGAATTGTTTCTACCTTTTCCATTCCAATTAGATTTAGCTGTTTCATCACATTGTATTTTGTGAAACTAGAAATAAAGGGTGTCCCAAAATTAACGCAAGATTTGAATTTGCCGCCATTTGTGCAGTGAAGTGTTGGCAACCCTGAAAAAAAGCAATTTGACAGCTAACAGTATAGGGTTATGAAAAATGGAGCGTTACACGATAGAACAACGTGTCTTCATTATTAAAGAATATTTCAAAAATAGTGAAAGCTTGGCGGCTGCAGTTCGAAAATTTCATACAAAATATGGCCGGAATAGTGTTTTAACTTCGTCAACTGTGAAGAGATTAATTGAAAAATTCATGGAGACTGGATCCGTTGGAGACGCCAAACACACTGGTCGTCCAAAAACAAGCCGTTCAAATGTGAATATCGAAGCAGTGCGTGAGAGTGTTGCGGACAATCCAGGAACCTCAATTCGACGTCGTGGACAAGAATTGCAAATGTCAAGAACCTCTCTACAGCGTATACTCACCAAAGATCTGTGTCTTCATGCTTACAAACTTCAATTAACACAACAATTGAAGCTTAATGACCATGCAGAGAGAAGAGAGTTTGTTGAATGGATTATTGAACATCAACAAATGGACCCTGATTTTTCAAGCAAAATCATCCTAAGCGATGAAGCACATTTTCATCTTGATGGCTTTGTCAATCGCCAAAATTGCCGCATTTGGGGTTCGGAGAACCCACGTGTGATTGTCGAAAAAGAAATGCACCCACAACGCGTGACTGTCTGGTGTGGATTTTGGGCTGGAGGCATAATTGGGCCATATTTTTTTGAAAATGATGCTGGTCAAGCAGTGACTGTTACTGGTGCTCGATATCGCGACATGATTACACAGTTCTTTCTGCCAAAATTGAATGATATTGATGTACCCAATATGTGGTTTCAACAAGACGGTGCCACATGTCATACAGCCCGTGAAACAATTCAATTACTGCATGAGACATTTCCCGGTCGTGTACTCTCTCGTTTCGGTGATCAAAATTGGCCTCCTAGATCGTGTGATTTAACACCATTAGACTTCTTTTTATGGGGTTATTTGAAATCACAAGTCTATGTCAACAAGCCCACAACCACCCGTGCATTAAAGGAGGAGATTCAACGCTGCATCAACGAAATTCAGCCACATTTATGCAGAAGGGTCATGGAAAATTTCGACAAAAGAGTGCGCATGTGCATGCAAAGCCGTGGAGGCCATTTGTCCGATGTGTTATTCCATACATAACCCTATCCTATGTACTTTATGAGTCAATAAAAATATAACTATTAAAAGACTAAAAATGGCATTTTCTATTTAATTCAAATCTTGCGTTAATTTTGGGACACCCTTTATATATTTTGTTTATTTCTTGATATTCGTTTTATAAATAAATGATTTGAAATGTATAGTTGTATTTCCATATAAACCAGTGCAATTAGGTTTACCTTTATCGGTCAATATTGCTTGCAAGTGACAATAGAACCTATACTTTATCTCGCAATGTTGCTTGCAAGCAACTAATTCTAAAGTCACTTTCCCAGGTTTGTTCTCGACTTCTATAATATCCTATGTCATCTATAAGTCATAACTGATAACCTATGTCAATATTAGATTTTTTCAATAAGGTGTCGCGCAAAGGCAGATACAGGGCTAGGTAAAACATTATGGAATTTAAATTATCATACATACCTTTTTACCTTGTTACGCCTATTAAGAGCCCTGAAATTGGTTCTTTTTGCATGCATAATGAGGCTTTATTACACTATTCTGAAGTAAAGTATGGTACCTAATATGTTTTCAATGAGAGAAATTCCAGGGATGTAGAGAGAGTCTTATTTTTTTAGGGTCTATTGGAGAATACTTAAATTAGGGAGGGGGGCAGTCACATTATAGAATTTTATAGCTACTAAAATAACAAAGTTTACGGCTGCATTCGAGGGACAGGCAATGAAGCCAAGTTCTAAACGTTGACTAATATTGCGCTTAGAATAAATACGATCTCGGCAGTAAGCTGGTCAGCTTCGCTGTCACTACTTTCAGTACTGCTTCCACTGGTTTCATACGAATCAGATTCGGATGTTTCTGTTATTGCGGGACTTTCAAGATTTGCCCCTTCACTTTCCAGTTGCAAACGTTTTTTTGGCTGCTCAGGAATTCTTATTGGCGATACATCAACATCCATTACTTTCCGTTTTTGCGAGATTTGAACTGTCTTGCTTCTAAAATGTACCTATTTGGTTTGGTATGCCTTCACATATCTGTGACTAATCTTCTACTGTCAAAGGTTCAGGCAGTTCATCATGCTTCTCCTCAATAACTTCCACGCGTTCAGGCTCGGACTTTCCGGTTTAGGGTCCCGCCCGGCGTGCCGCGATGTCTTTCTGCCTTGCCCTTTTTCGCTGAACACTCGTCTCGTACAGCTTAATTGTCTATCCAGTTGACATGCAAATTTATGAGGTGCAATATTAGGATTCATCCGGGCTTGAACGGTACTCGTATTGTATACAGGCAGTTTATTGTTGCTTAACTTTAAGATACGTCAAGTACAATGCCACAAAAAATTTTTGTGAGTGTTCCAAAACCTGTCGCACAACGTAAAAAGCAGCTCGACGGGATGTAAAATCAGTTTCTTCCACATCGACCATGTACTGCTGCAAAGATCATTTTGACCTGGAAAAAGATATGGAAAACTATACAGGGTGTTTCAGTTTATTGTTGCATAACTTTAAGATCCGATAGAACTTTTAAAATTAATGCATAAAGTCTATATAAACATGGGTCGAAAAATGCGTTTCTTCCGAAATACAGGGTGTTTAAATTTACTTTCTAAAATAGTTTTTTTTAAATATTTCGAACAATATTTGATGTATAACAGTGAAAATTGGTATACAAGGGTATTTTGGTACGAAAAAACAAACCATAGTTTTACTGTAGCCGCGCTTTCTACTGTACCTGTAGTGTATTAAAATGAGCGAAGATTTTTTCTTAGTACAATTGTTTGCTTTTTGAATAAAAAAACTGATTCTTCGCACTTTTCAACATAAAACAGCTTCGTTATAGTTAGCCGTTTTTGAGATATTTCGATTTTTAAGGTTCGGTGCATTTTTAATTATTTATGATAAAATAACGTTAAAAAGTCAGTATCTCGATAATTTTTAGAAACAGGCTGTGCCTGCAAATATTTTTGAAATTGAAAGCAGAATAAGGTTAAACGTCAATTAGTTGACAGTTAGTTTTGTTGTCTGTTGAAACCTGAAACGTTTTTTTGCAATTGTGAATGCACGAAATTTAGCTTCTTTTACCTGTTTTTTTTTGTAAGTTTTATAAAAATGCCATTTTTATTCTCCAATCAAGAGTTAGCGGTTATTCATTTTGTGTATGGCTTTGTAAATGGAAACGCTGCAGAAGCAGCCAGAGAATACGCACGAAGATTTCCAAACAGACGACATCCAACTCGCTCAGTATTTGTAAGAGTGCATCGCCAAATAATTGAAAATGGTTTTGGAAATCTCCAAAGGGATTAAACAAATGTTCGTCAGCGCAGATTTACCCGTATGATTCTGGGTGAGTTTGATAGAGATCCGACCACAAGTGTTAGGAGAGTTTCTGGTGCCTTGGGAATTTCAGCAAGCCATGTTCAGCGTGTTCTTAGAAATGACCATAGACGTCCTTACCATTTGCAACCTGTGCAAGGACCAGCCAGGGGACGGAGAACGAAGAATCACATTTTGTCAGTGGATTCTTGATAGAACTGATAATAATAGGGAGTTTTTAAGTAACGTTTTACGGACCGATGAGTCATGCTTCACTAGACGTGGAGTGGTAAATTTTCATAATCAACATATTTGGTCGCATGAAAATCCGCATGCAGTTCGGGAAAGAAATGTTCAGCATGAATTTAGTGTGAACGTGTGGATTGGTATCTACCGTAATCGACTATTTGGACCCTACCTTTTGCCTGCAAGGTTAAATGCTGCGACCTTCTTGGAATTTTTAAAGGCTGAACATGCAAATATGTGAGATGATATTATGTTAGATTTAAGAAGATTGGCCTGGTTCCAGCTTGATGGTTATCCAGCTCATTATTCGAGAATAGTTAGAAACTGGCTGGACGAAAATTATCCAGAAAGATGGATCGGCCGTGGAGGACCAGTCGCCTGGCGTCCACGATCCCCTGACCTAAATCCATTAGATTTCTTTGTGTGGGGATTTCTAAAAGAAAAAGCATACCAGACTCCCGTAACCACAAGAGATATGCTAATAGACAGAATCAGGAATGCATGTGATGAAATAAGGCCTTATTTGAATAATGCTATACCACGTTCGATCATGTATTGAACAATTGGGTTTACATTTCGAGCAACTACTTTAGATTTTGTATGTTTTTCCTAACTATCCAATGGCATTTTAGTTGTAAATAATTAATTTAATTTGTTAAAAATAATATTGGAAAATTAAACAAATTAATATTCTGTTTTTTTGTGTCTATTTGGAGTTAGGAATTATTGCTGTGTTTAGAAACACAATCTAAACGATCAGCTTAATTACTTGTAATGCTCAAATCGAAAATGTAAAAAAAAGATTATTTTCCCATAAATAATTAAAAATGCATCGAACCTTAAAAATCGAAATATCTCAGAAACGGCTAACTATAACGAAAACTCACAGGAGAGCTTTTTTATGTTGAAAAGTGCGAAGAATCAGTTTTTTTACTCAAAAAGCAAAAAATTGAGCTAATAAAAAATTTTCGTATCAAAAAACCCTTGTATACCAATTTTCACTCTTATACATCAAATATTGTTCGAAAGATTTAAAAAAAACTATTTTAAAAAGTAAATTTAAACACCCTGTATTTCGGAAGCCACGCATTTTTCGACCCATGTTTATATAGACTTTATGCATTAATTTTAAAAGTTCTATCGGATCTTAAAGTTATGCAACAATAAACTGAAACACCCTGTATAGTTTTCCATATGTTTTTCCAGGTCAAAATGATCTTCGCAGCAGTACATGGTCGACGTGGAAGAAACTGATTTTACATCCCGTCGAGCTGCTTTTTACGTTGTGCGGCAGGTTTTGGAACACTCACAAAATTTTTTGTGGCATTGTACTTGACGTACTTGTACATTTTGGAACAAAACACCACTTTCTGTTCGACATTTAACACGGTCAAAGTTCACAGAATTTAACAATAATCTATCGTACCAGCTCTAACTACTCCAAACCGATTACTGGGGCGTTGTTGTGACAATGGTAAATGCAGCGGGCCAGCTAGCGAGGTGTGTCTGGCTACTGACGTCACGCGGTCTAGTCTCGCGCACAGGTATGTTTTTCAGCCTCGCGCCGATCCTTGATTTTGAAATGCTTTTATCGACGTAAATATCAATATTTTTTGCTCATTTTTTTATCGTTTTTTAATAACAAAATCTCTCGATTTGAGAAAAAATCAAAAAATGGCGAAACTTCCCATTTTCACAAGCAAGACTCTTTTCTAAGTATATCAAACTGATATTTTACGAATCATAGGGTATAATAACGTTGGAGAGGCATAATGCTAATACTGATTCAGAGGTCATATTCTTGTATCGACCCTCATGAAAAAGAATGTTGATAAAAAAGGCTCAAGGTATACAACAGGTACAAGCTTATTACTTTCGTTTAATTAAAACTCATGCTCTTACTGGGATGAAACAGTACAGTTGAGAAGGGTACTTAAACACGTCGAGAAAGAACATTTTAGAGGGATTTTAGTGTTAGTGAAAACCATACTATGAAACTGACATTGACGATTAAGACAAAGGACCAGAGCAGAACCTAACACAAACTTTATAAGAAACTGGGGTGGAATGCTGATGTTTTTATCAATCGGAGGTACACAACGTTTGCATTTGGCCATCAATTTAATCTCGAACAAATCCCCAAAATATAGAGATGACATACAGGGTGTTCCTTAATGATATGCGAATATTTAAGGGTGTGAATCTACATGGAAAATTAATGTTAGTTTGCTTTATAAACTATGGACCAAAAATGTTTCCTTACAAAAACTCGGGGTGTTGAAGTTTTAGGAAAAAAATGGAATTTAGTACGTACAGTAAATTAATAAAGTTGCATATTCCTCAATGCAAAAATAATTTTTAGCTTTAACAGTAGCGTGCGTACGGGTATTGACTTCGATATTTTTAAGAAAAAAATGGTACGCCAATAGTTTTTTGCCAAACAAAAATTATTTTTGAATTCTCCGTTCGGTTTAAAACAAATGATTTTTCTTGAGTTGCTTTCTTTCGATGTGCCATTTTTGAGTAAAAAAATAAAAACCGTTCTTGTCCGAGAAAATTAATGTAATAATTGAAGAATGTAATTTAGCGATAAATATCTGTGGCTCTGGCTTTTGACATCTGACAAGTGTCGGTTATTCAAATCTGTTCGTTGTGACATCTTTTGCATTATTTAGTTGTTACAATCTTGTGAATTATTCAAATGCCGAAATGGCGGAAATGCATTACATATATGGCCTTGCCGACGGTAATGGTGAACAAGCCAGACGGATGTATCACCAGAGATATCCCGATCGTGCTTTGTCAGATAGTCGAACCTTTTCTAATATTCATCGTCGTCTTGTTGAAACTGGTTCTGTTCAAAAATGAACATCTGAAGGTAGATCTTTGAGTGTGAGAACACCTGAAATTGAGGAAGCAGTGCTGAACGAAGTTGAAAAACATCCTGAAACGAGTACGAGGAAGATCGCTAAACACTTAAATATTTGCCATAAAATTGTTGGAGAATTTCAGTGGATTTTTTGTTATATCCTTACCATATTTTAAGAGTACAGGCATTACTTCCCATTGATTTTCCAGGGCGTGTGACCTTTTGTCCGTGGTATCTTCAAAAAATTACACAAAATTCGCAATTTGGATCAATGATTCTGTTCACGGACGAAGCTAAGTTTTCTCGAAATGCCATTCAGAACTTCCACAATGATCATTTGTGGGCAGAAGAAAATCCCTAGGCCGTAACCGAGTTTTTGTAAGGAAACATTTTTGGACCATGGTGTATAAAGAAAACTAACATTAATTTTTCATGTAGATTCACACCCTAAAATATTCGCATGTCATTAAGGAACACCCTGTATAGACAAACTTCATGGTTATCAGAATGTAAATAGTTTCTATTTTCAATTAGTATTCAAGCTGTAGTTTGGATGTAGGTATATCATTTTGTGGTACGACATAAGATTCGTCAACACGGGCGTCCTCTATGGTCAGTCTCGATACGAGATGGCTCGTACGCACAGAGTCGGTCAAGTCATCGTTAGTTGTCAGAGCGGTCCGGGGGACCTTAGCTCTTGAGGCATAGTGTCAGTTTGTAAGTCTGTCAGGTCTGGTAAGCTAGAAACCAGACAATTTAAAAAAAAGGGAAGGAGAGAAGAAAGAGCGAGAGCAAAGACTGAAAAAATAATCTTTAGGCATTGTTAAGATCACTGGACAGATTTTGATATGGTCTAACAATATTTGATTTTTGCTCCAATTTTGATTGCTTCAAGTTCACGAATTAGTTTTGATCACAATGCGAGCCGCGGCCTTTTCCGCTTGACTACCCGAGGCGACAAACTTTTAAAAATCGGTAAGGGTGCTAGTATCTTGAAAAGTGAAATAATATCGTTTTTTTTT